GTGTGCATCATAGCCAAACTTTGAAACGCACCAACTTGAAACTGCTTATGAACCAAGTTGAAAATGCTTACGAACCAAGTTGAAAATGCTTACGAACCAATTTGCTTCCTCTATTAACTAACTTGACTCCGAAATGGTATAGTGTCTAACTTGTTCAGAATAGTTGGAAGGTCAAGGATACCTAATTCCAACGCCATGGGTAGACAGCAGAACTCAAATTATTTGTCATTAAGTGCAACCGATCCTTCGTTTATGGGACAACTGGCAATATGATCTACGTTTTTTCCCCTCGAACTCCATCGTTCAATGGTTACACCATTTTCCAAGGAGCGAATGTCTTCATTTATGAGTAGCAGTGTGTTTCGCAGTTCGGCGCTTAGGAATTTGTGGACTATCTTTATGTTATCTGCAAATAGTAGTTGCATACCTTGTGGAATAACGGCACTAATGTCATTGACGTAGAGGAGGAATAGTAATGGACCAAGTACACCGCCTTGGATAAAACCCAATTGGTTGGACGTGTTGAAGCGCGGTGGTTGTAGTAACTACCAGAGAACGGCCGCTGTGGTATAATGATTGGAAGCCCAGAAGTGAGCCTTGGTTTTCAAAAGAAGTAATGCTCGTGAGCAGTTGTTTGTAAAGCACTTGATTGAATGCCTTTTACATGTCCAACAACGAAAGTATAATTGCGTATCGTGAGCCAATAGAATCAGAAACATGGTTTAGATAATATAATTGAAAGCTTAATAACGATGTTAAAAATGCCGTCTGATAATATCAGTAAATTGCTAGTCTGATTAAATTTAAGCAAACGAAATACCTTATATTTTATTAGCTGAGTGTATCGCGTTGAACTATGTGAAGTACGATCGCAACATCGTAAGTTGCAAGGGTAATAAGAAGAAAACAATGTTGCAACAGAATGCTTTGTCTTACCAATTTAAACGCGTACACAGTTTGTGCAGTTGCTGTTGTAATAGTCAGTCCTCCTATTTGTCATAAGATGGCTCATTTTGGTTAGTTGGAATGAATGCGCCTAGTTGGGTCCGCCATGTGTTACAACTGCATGCAGAACTGGGAGTGTTGAGTATTGTCTGAAAGTTTAATAATGCAACTGTACTAACAATCTTAAGTTGGGGATTATATACTGGACACTGATCGAATCAATGCTTAAAAAATGTTGAAATAGACCGAATTTGATGGTTTGCTCATGTGATTAGGTGCCTGCTGGAAAGTAACCTGCAAATTCTAATGGCCAAAGCATGATTATAAACTAACTTTGCAAGTTTGGGTGGAATGATAGATACAGCTAAACTTGTCTGTTGTATCAAGAAAGCCGTAGGAAAGGTAAAATGTATCTCGCAAAATTAACGTTGTACAACTGAGTCAATCCCTTGTTAAACGGAGAGTCAAGCGACAGACGCACACAACCAATAGTAATGAGTCAGCAAGCCAACCAATGAGCTTGAGCCAATCGATCTTGCTCACATGGTTACCACATTATCGTTCCCCCTCCGAAAAGCTGCCTCAACCGGGTTCGTAGCGATCAATAGGTTTCACCGTTCTCGCGGACCGACGCAGCTGGCTTCGTGGTAATGGTAACTCAGCCGGGTCTTCGCGCGCGGATCGGTCGGGCTGATTAGCTGGTCCGTGAGCTGTGTGGAGTCGACGCGCGTTGACAATTAGGCCGTTCTCCAATCGATAGGTGCCCGGGCCAAGCGTACGGTCGATGCGCAGTGGAGCGGAAAGCGAAGGTGTGCCTTTCTTTGTTGCTCTGCTTTTGACGCGAACGTATGTCCCGGGCTGCATTGGTGTTGATAATTTAGCGTAGGAATTTTGGTAAGATGCTATGCGATTTGAAACTTCGGCATCTCTCGCTGATAAAACGTTATGTGCAGCATTTAACTTTGTGCGTAAGGGCCTTCCTAGCATCAGCTCCGCTGGCGTTCTTCCGGTGGCTCTGTGGTCACATGTTCTGTAGGAAAAAACCGCAGTTAAAACTGCATCCTCCCAGTCCGAACCTCCTATGTGTATGGCTTGTATAGCTTCTTTTAAAGACCGGTTTAAACGTTCGACCATGCCGTTGGCTGCAGGATTGTAGGGCGCAGTTCTGGAGTGCTTAATGTTATGGCAATGTAGAAAATCTGCGAATTCGCGGCTACAAAATTGTGGCCCGTTATCCGTTACTATTTCATGCGGTAAACCGAAACGGCTGAACAAGTGTTTAAGCCAACGTAACACAACCGAAGTAGTAACTTGGTCGCACATGTGTACTTCAGGCCATCTACTGTAAAAACATGTAGCAACAAGTAGATTTCGCTTATTCGTAGGAGCAGTAGCGAAAGGGCCCATAATATCAATGGCGATTTTGGTCCATGGTTTCATCGGGTAAGCAATTGGCTGTGTCGGGGCTTTAACGGGCAAAGAACTTTTGTCCGCTAATCGGCAAGCATTGCAATTGACCACAAATGTCTCAATGCTAGATGCCATTCGTGGCCACCAGAAATAGAGTCTTACTCGATTTTTGGTCCGAACTATACCTGGATGTCCCTCATGTGCGCAAGCTATTATCTTGGCTATCAACTGGGACGGAGCTACAAACACCGAACCGCGCATCAGGCAACCGTCTACCACTGATAGTTCATGTCGAATTGCATAATACGGAATGAACTCACCGGGGATTTTGTTATTCTTGGGCCAGCCCTGCTGCACATATTCAATAATCTCATGCAGTAAAGAATCGTTAGAATTTTCCCTTCGTAGTTCCTCGATCGTCAAGGCAGACAGGTTAGCTCCGAGACTGGAAACTAGTACCGCCTCTCTGAGTCTCTCTTTTTCATCCTCCAACCCCACGGGTAAGCGAGATAGGCCGTCAGCAATCTGATTTTGCAAACCTGGCCGGTACACAATTTCAAAATCGTAGTTAAGGAGCCTGGCATACCAGCGATCGATTCGCATTGGGCGAGATCCTTTAGATCCATTGCTGAGAAGAGCTGTTAGGGCTGAATGATCAGTACGCAGAATAAAACGACGACCGAACAGAAATAAATGCCACCTTTCACAGGCCCACACACATGCAAGAGCTTCTTTTTCCCCAACTGAATAATGACGTTCGGAATCTGATAGCTTTCGTGATGCGTAGGCAATAACTTTCTCCTCTCCGTTTTGTATTTGTGAGAGGACAGCTCCGAGACCGACATCAGACGCGTCAGTGGACACAAAGGTGCGGCAAGATTCATCAAAAATGGCAACTAAGGGAGCAGACGCAACTCTCCTTTTCAGTTCATCAAAGGCATTTTGATGATTGCTGCCCCAAACGAACGACGATCCTTTCTTTGTTAACTGTCGTAATGGATCTGCCACAGTCGCAAAATCCGGCAGATAGCGCAGGTTGTAAGAGCACATTCCTAAAAAGGACTTTAGTTCTGTCAAATTTTTGGGTGTTGGCGCTTCAGAGATGGCCCTGATATTTTCATCACTTGGTCGAATGCCACTGCGTGAAATGACGTGTCCCAAAAACTGAATTTCTGGTGCATTGAAGAGACATTTTTCTGCGTTCAGACGCAAATTGAGATCACTGAGGCGCTGGAGGACTTTGTGTAGCCTTTCATCATGTTCTTCCTGTGAGCGGCCGAAAACACAAATATCATCCATGTAGGCAACCTGCCCATCGATACCTGCCAGGGCGTGAGTCATGAACTTTTGCCAGGCGGCGGGCGCGGAACTCAAACCCATGGGTAAGACTTTGTACTGAAATAGGCCATCAGGAGCGAGGAAGGCAGTTAGGTGTTTGGAATCATCGGCCAATGGCATATGGAAAAACGCACTTTTCAAATCTAGCTTGGAAAAAACAGTTGCACCAGCTAAACGTACAGTGAGTTCATCATTAGATGGTAAAACAAAGCGTTCTACGACGATCTGTTTGTTCAGCGCCTGCAAATCGTTGCATATCCGGACAGTACCGTCTTTTTTCATGACACAAACCATTGGATGCACCCACTCAGAGCAATCGATGGGTTCAATCAAATCATTTGCTAGCATCGCTTGCAGGGCTGCAGAGACCGCTTCACGTTTCGCTAGCGGAATGGGTCGAGGTTGACCAATGGCGATCGGTTTCGCATTCGGTTTCAGCTGAATTCGATGCACACCACATGGAATACGGCCGATGGACTTCTGGAAGAGCTGCGGATAATGTTCCTGCCAGTGTGCTACGTTGACGGAAGAGATAAGCATGCGGTCGAATGATGGTACAATATGCAAAGCCACCATAGCATTCCTCCCAAGCAAGGGTCGTCTGTTGTCCGAAGAAATATACACTGCGACATCGGCAATCACAGAATGCAACTGCAAAGGCACGATAATAAATCCCAATATGGTTAGTGTGTTCCCACTATAACTCCAGAATGAATGTGAGGTGGGATGTAAAGTATGCTGTGATAGGTAGCGTTCATAAAATTGGAAAGGCACGATAGTAACTGGAGAAGCAGAATCAAGTTCCATTTCCAATGGAACAGCACCTTTAACAGTAAGGAACAATACAGTACGAATGTCAGCAGCTGGAAACTTCGGTTCAACAACGGATATGGTTACACAACCTGAAGGTATGGAGTCAGCGGTGATTGAATAGATATTGTCTTGAGTTGGATCGGTAACATGGCATTCCGGTGTATCATCATCTTTAATGAGTGCGACAGCCTGCGATCGACAACAGCGGGCATAGTGACCAATTTTACCACAGTTTTTACATTTGAGGCTGCGTGCGGGACAACCGGCAAAATTAGCTTTGTGAGACGTGCTCCCACAACGATAGCAAGAAAGTTTGTCTGTCGGACGTTGCCGGAAAGATTGTACTCTCGCCACTTCAGCTAAGCTGGTGGAACAAAACTGCTTCGATTGCAATGAAATTTCTGTCTTTACTCGGGCTAATTCGCAAGCTCGATCCCACGTTAGTGTGCAAGCGTCTTCCTGCAATAGCCCCTCACGTATGCGATTGTCAGCGATTCCAGTGATCAGTTGCTGAGTGAGCATACAGCCTTCAATCTTTTTCTGTGGAATAGACGAGTAGGCACACGGTCGTACTGCACGACTCAGCCGAGCAATGAAATCATTCAAGGGTTCGCCTGCTTCTTGGTGTATTCGGGAGAAAATATATCGCGCGGTAAACACGTTCATTTGGTAACTCCATGCACGATCGAGAGCATTGAAGGCGTCCATAACCGATTTGCATCCTTGGAGGCCCAAATCATCGAATTGTCGCTGTCCCTCATCTCCGAGTAAATGACGAAGCAGCTTCAATCTTTTATCCTCAGTAAGAGCAGTAGGGAGATCGCTGATTAAATCCAAGTAGTTTAGGAAGGATGTTTTCCAACGGAACCAGGCATCCGATGTCGGTCTGCTGCCGCAATCAGTCCAAAATGGAGATGGGGGTTGGATGGAAAGGTTCATTTTTGCCTCCGCGACGCCACAATGTTGTATCAAGAAAGCCGTAGGAAAGGTAAAATGTATCTCGCAAAATTAACCATGTACATCTGAGTCAATCCCTTGTTAAACGGAGAGTCAAGCGACAGACGCACACAACCAATAGTAATGAGTCAGCAAGCCAACCAATGAGCTTGAGCCAATCGATCTTGCTCACATGGTTACCACATTATCGTTCCCCCTCCGAAAAGCTGCCTCAACCGGGTTCGTAGCGATCAATAGGTTTCACCGTTCTCGCGGACCGACGCAGCTGGCTTCGTGGTAATGGTAACTCAGCCGGGTCTTCGCGCGCGGATCGGTCGGGCTGATTAGCTGGTCCGTGAGCTGTGTGGAGTCGACGCGCGTTGACAATTAGGCCGTTCTCCAATCGATAGGTGCCCGGGCCAAGCGTACGGTCGATGCGCAGTGGAGCGGAAAGCGAAGGTGTGCCTTTCTTTGTTGCTCTGCTTTTGACGCGAACGTATGTCCCGGGCTGCATTGGTGTTGATAATTTAGCGTAGGAATTTTGGTAAGATGCTATGCGATTTGAAACTTCGGCATCTCTCGCTGATAAAACGTTATGTGCAGCATTTAACTTTGTGCGTAAGGGCCTTCCTAGCATCAGCTCCGCTGGCGTTCTTCCGGTGGCTCTGTGGTCACATGTTCTGTAGGAAAAAACCGCAGTTAAAACTGCATCTTCCCAGTCCGAACCTCCTATGTGTATGGCTTGTATAGCTTCTTTTAAAGACCGGTTTAAACGTTCGACCATGCCGTTGGCTGCAGGATTGTAGGGCGCAGTTCTGGAGTGCTTAATGTTATGGCAATGTAGAAAATCTGCGAATTCGCGGCTACAAAATTGTGGCCCGTTATCCGTTACTATTTCATGCGGTAAACCGAAACGGCTGAACAAGTGTTTAAGCCAACGTAACACAACCGAAGTAGTAACTTGGTCGCACATGTGTACTTCAGGCCATCTACTGTAAAAACATGTAGCAACAAGTAGATTTCGCTTATTCGTAGGAGCAGTAGCGAAAGGGCCCATAATATCAATGGCGATTTTGGTCCATGGTTTCATCGGGTAAGCAATTGGCTGTGTCGGGGCTTTAACGGGCAAAGAACTTTTGTCCGCTAATCGGCAAGCATTGCAATTGACCACAAATGTCTCAATGCTAGATGCCATTCGTGGCCACCAGAAATAGAGTCTTACTCGATTTTTGGTCCGAACTATACCTGGATGTCCCTCATGTGCGCAAGCTATTATCTTGGCTATCAACTGGGACGGAGCTACAAACACCGAACCGCGCATCAGGCAACCGTCTACCACTGATAGTTCATGTCGAATTGCATAATACGGAATGAACTCACCGGGGATTTTGTTATTCTTGGGCCAGCCCTGCTGCACATATTCAATAATCTCATGCAGTAAAGAATCGTTAGAATTTTCCCTTCGTAGTTCCTCGATCGTCAAGGCAGACAGGTTAGCTCCGAGACTGGAAACTAGTACCGCCTCTCTGAGTCTCTCTTTTTCATCCTCCAACCCCACGGGTAAGCGAGATAGGCCGTCAGCAATCTGATTTTGCAAACCTGGCCGGTACACAATTTCAAAATCGTAGTTAAGGAGCCTGGCATACCAGCGATCGATTCGCATTGGGCGAGATCCTTTAGATCCATTGCTGAGAAGAGCTGTTAGGGCTGAATGATCAGTACGCAGAATAAAACGACGACCGAACAGAAATAAATGCCACCTTTCACAGGCCCACACACATGCAAGAGCTTCTTTTTCCCCAACTGAATAATGACGTTCGGAATCTGATAGCTTTCGTGATGCGTAGGCAATAACTTTCTCCTCTCCGTTTTGTATTTGTGAGAGGACAGCTCCGAGACCGACATCAGACGCGTCAGTGGACACAAAGGTGCGGCAAGATTCATCAAAAATGGCAACTAAGGGAGCAGACGCAACTCTCCTTTTCAGTTCATCAAAGGCATTTTGCTGATTGCTGCCCCAAACGAACGACGATCCTTTCTTTGTTAACTGTCGTAATGGATCTGCCACAGTCGCAAAATCCGGCAGATAGCGCAGGTTGTAAGAGCACATTCCTAAAAAGGACTTTAGTTCTGTCAAATTTTTGGGTGTTGGCGCTTCAGAGATGGCCCTGATATTTTCATCACTTGGTCGAATGCCACTGCGTGAAATGACGTGTCCCAAAAACTGAATTTCTGGTGCATTGAAGAGACATTTTTCTGCGTTCAGACGCAAATTGAGATCACTGAGGCGCTGGAGGACTTTGTGTAGCCTTTCATCATGTTCTTCCTGTGAGCGGCCGAAAACACAAATATCATCCATGTAGGCAACCTGCCCATCGATACCTGCCAGGGCGTGAGTCATGAACTTTTGCCAGGCGGCGGGCGCGGAACTCAAACCCATGGGTAAGACTTTGTACTGAAATAGGCCATCAGGAGCGAGGAAGGCAGTTAGGTGTTTGGAATCATCGGCCAATGGCATATGGAAAAACGCACTTTTCAAATCTAGCTTGGAAAAAACAGTTGCACCAGCTAAACGTACAGTGAGTTCATCATTAGATGGTAAAACAAAGCGTTCTACGACGATCTGTTTGTTCAGCGCCTGCAAATCGTTGCATATACGGACGGTACCGTCTTTTTTCATGACACAAACCATTGGATGCACCCACTCAGAGCAATCGATGGGTTCAATCAAATCATTTGCTAGCATCGCTTGCAGGGCTGCAGAGACCGCTTCACGTTTCGCTAGCGGAATGGGTCGAGGTTGACCAATGGCGATCGGTTTCGCATTCGGTTTCAGCTGAATTCGATGCACACCACATGGAATACGGCCGATGGACTTCTGGAAGAGCTTCGGATAATGTTCCTGCCAGTGTGCTACGTTGACGGAAGAGATAAGCATGCGGTCGAATGATGGTACAATATGCAAAGCCACCATAGCATTCCTCCCAAGCAAGGGTCGTCTGTTGTCCGAAGAAATATACACTGCGACATCGGCAATCACAGAATGCAACTGCAAAGGCACGATAATAAATCCCAATATGGTTAGTGTGTTCCCACTATAACTCCAGAATGAATGTGAGGTGGGATGTAAAGTATGCTGTGATAGGTAGCGTTCATAAAATTGGAAAGGCACGATAGTAACTGGAGAAGCAGAATCAAGTTCCATTTCCAATGGAACAGCACCTTTAACAGTAAGGAACAATACAGTACGAATGTCAGCAGCGGGAAACTTCGGTTCAACAACGGATATGGTTACACAACCTGAAGGTATGGAGTCAGCGGTGATTGAATAGATATTGTCTTGAGTTGGATCGGTAACATGGCATTCCGGTGTATCATCATCTTTAATGAGTGCGACAGCCTGCGATCGACAACAGCGGGCATAGTGACCAATTTTACCACAGTTTTTACATTTGAGGCTGCGTGCGGGACAACCGGCAAAATTAGCTTTGTGAGACGTGCTCCCACAACGATAGCAAGAAAGTTTGTCTGTCGGACGTTGCCGGAAAGATTGTACTCTCGCCACTTCAGCTAAGCTGGTGGAACAAAACTGCTTCGATTGCAATGAAATTTCTGTCTTTACTCGGGCTAATTCGCAAGCTCGATCCCACGTTAGTGTGCAAGCGTCTTCCTGCAATAGCCCCTCACGTATGCGATTGTCAGCGATTCCAGTGATCAGTTGCTGAGTGAGCATACAGCCTTCAATCTTTTTCTGTGGAATAGACGAGTAGGCACACGGTCGTACTGCACGACTCAGCCGAGCAATGAAATCATTCAAGGGTTCGCCTGCTTCTTGGTGTATTCGGGAGAAAATATATCGCGCGGTAAACACGTTCATTTGG